AATATGATTATTAATCGTAAAAAGATTAATAAAAAATAAAATCAACTTATACTGGATTTTCTTCTCAAAAGCGACTTGATAAGATTGCGTCGCTGCGAGGCAATTTATCACGGTCCAATCCTAAAGAGATAAGTACAGATATCTAACTGCCGGACCCACTCACCCACGTGGTACACATTAGAACAACAAAATAATAAAGAGTAATAATAATAAATAAATAAATAAACAAATAAAAAAAATGGCAAACAAACGGGTCAATCTTAAAGAGATAAGCACAAATATCTAATTTTCGAAATCCACTGACCCACATGAAAAACACCGGAAAAACAAAACAAAACAAATAATAATAAATAAATAAACGATCCAGTCTTAAAAGGCTTAAACACAAATTTCTAGTTTCCTTGATCCACTGACACACATGGTAGACACTGGAATAACAAACAAAAAAATATAAATAAATAAATAATAAATTTTTTTTGAGGGTTTAAAAATAAATTTTATTATTTTTAAGATAAAAACATTATAATAATTATATAATTATTATTTTTAAGATAGACAATAAATAAATTTATTTTTTAAATATATATTTTAAAGATATAAATTAAAAAATATATTTAATATATTTTTTGAATTATTAATTTATATTCAAAATAAAAAAATTAATAATATTAATTTTAATATTAACATCACATATTTTAATTTTATTAATTAATTATTAAAATTAAAATTAAAATTTATTTTTATATAATTTAATAATTAAAAATATATTAATTATTTTCTTAATATATATGTTAAAATATAAGTTAAATAATTCATGAACAATACAGTTTTAAAATGATAAGCACAAATATCTAATTCTCGGGACCCACTATCCACATCAGTCCTAAAGGGGTAGGCATAAATAAACATCAATTCTCGGGTCAGCAACCCACATCAGTCTTTAAGAGAAAAGCATAAATATCTGCTTCCTGAGGCCTATTACCCTTCGGTAAAACCTCACCTTTACCCTCGTTTTATTCGATTTGAAAGTTTTAATTTTTTATTTT